CACAGTCAAGAGAATGTCTAGAAAAAATGGATTCGTATTCAAGCACTAAATCACACAGCTTCGCCTTCCAAAAATCTGAAACTTCACATGCATCCAAGTCAACAGACTCCAAACCGCACTTTTGAAGTCTGCTGCTAGGTGCATCGGATCTATCTGGCTCAACTGCTGACTGCTGAACACAAAGCCGCACAGTAGACTCAGACGCTTCGCACACATCCTCTAAAGCGATACAAGGATAAACGTCGGCTACTTTAGTGTTTCGCCTCAGCGTTACTGGCTTGTCGCTAGGATTAATCAACTTTAGTGGTATCCAACCGTCGCCCCAAAGAGGAGAAACTACACGACCAACTAAAACTTTTTTAGAAGCAGAATGGACTCTAGATGGTTCCACCATCACAGTACTGCCTACCTGGCCACATGACTTAGCGGGTAGTTTCCCCCAGACAAGATGTTCCTGACCAGGCGAAAGCGTGACTGCACTATGAAGTTTTACTGTACCGACAACATCCGGAACTGTTTCACCCCTCCAGCGACGTATACCAGCCAGCATCGACAAAAACTCGTCACCCTCTGAACTAGGTCCACTGGGGGTTGAAATCAATTCCCAATATCTGTCAGAACCCTTCAGTCTGTGGACGAGATACTTAATGACATTCGTCCCCAAATGAGGTCATCATCTTGGCCTGGAACGACAAGACATGGGACAATAACATCACAGCCATAAACATCCAGTTTAAGTTCAACTACACTCTTTGGGAACACTCGTTTGCCACCACATCCTATTATGATGACATCAGTTTCTTTTTCCGTAACAGTATCCAGGACACCATGTTCCCTTAGCTTAGTGACTACCGAATCACTCAGAGTACAAGCCATAGAGCCGGTGTCCAACATGGCGCTAACAGTGAGTGAGTCATTAATAAGAACAGGTGTGTAGAAGAGTGTATCTGAGCAAGCTATACGTTGTGTATTCTGAAAGACGACTTTCTGAGAGTCGGGACAAAGATTCTTAAACGAGAGAAACAAAGCTTCGAAATCAGTATCCACCTCGAGGGAATTTTCTGCAACACCCACACTCCCCCTCTCCGAATGCGGGTGTTTCAGTTTTCCTGATCGCCAGGTGAATCTGAAGAAAACCGTGTAGTAGCGAATTTCTTTGTACAGTCTCGTTTGGAATGACCAGCAGTATGGCACCTAAAGCACAAACGATGAGTTTTACAATGGTCAATTGTAGTGTGCGCTGTGTCACCACAAATTCTACAGTTTTTTCGCCCAACTGCAGTCATTTCTCGCATTTTACCTGCAGGCACATACTCTGAAACGCTCTCTTCCTTCTTTTTCAAAATGTCAATCAGCTGTGTCAGCATATCAGCCATCCGATTCAAACTAGACTCATCTTTTGTATCGGGTTTTGAGTCATTAGGTACGCTGGGTCCCTGCTTAAAACATGCTAGCACAGGCTCAGGACCAGCATTAACATGTTCGCAGCTGTGCAAGAAATCTGCGCGTTCTGACCGATCGCATATTCGTTTGTAATTGCTCTCGACTTGCTGTCACGCTGGAAACTGTCTAATAGCTCCTGAACATCCTTTGCGGTCCATTTTTCTAATGGCCGCACTTTAAAAGTACGCGCTAAATCAGTGTCTGGACAATTTCGCACAAACATCATTGCAACTTCAGAACTCAAATTGTCCATACACCTACCCTGAGCCCTGAGACACTCGTCAGCAATGTCTGCTGCTTTATTCAGTCGCAGCCAGTAGTCAACAGGGTTCTCGCCGTATCTAGGTAACGTGCCGTAAAAATCAGCAAGTGGCATACTAGAATATGACACGTTACTGAAATGTTGCTTAAGTATGCTGTATATTAAATTTGGCTGTGATTTGTAGTCTAACGTAGGGTTACTGCGCAAAGTTACTTTTACAACATCTCTTGCCCTACCCATAAGATGGCTGATTATTTCGTCTGCTTGATTAGGAATGTCAACATTTCTTTTTTGTAGGTAGAGCTGCATCATGTCAACCCATTCTTGGACATCACATCTACCCAGATTGTCGCCCCTAAACACAGGCGGTTCTTTTTCATCTGATTTCAAGATGACATTCAGCTGTGATAAATCAAGATTAGCACATTGGGAACTCGAAGTGCTATTCTTGTTACAGCTCCCAGCGAATCCACCCTCTGATAGAAGTTTAGCAGTAACTGATTCACCAATTTTTCGACCCAATTCCTCAACTAAAACATTAAGATCGCCCACATCACGATCACTAGATGTCCCCAATTTACCTGGCTTAGGAGTAGACGTGACAGGGAAAGTTTGGTTGACATCATGCGCCATGAAATTCTCTTTCACTGAATGGTCATCGGACTTAACTTTCATTCCACTCTGCCCCAATTTAGCATTAGAATATTGCATCAGGTATTTTCCCCGCCCAGCCCCGAACAACCAGCTATCTGCACCACCCTCAGCCATTTGAAAATACTTTTATCATGAAACTCAAAAAGTAAATAAACTAATCAGGAAAGATTCAGTCAATAACAGTCACTTAGCTGCAGTCCGTCGATATCCCCGTTGCTCAAAGGCTGGTCAGAAAAGAAAGTTTTCTTTTCTTTTTTTTTTTTTTTTTCAATCGCAACGTCCTTAAACAGCAGGCAAATCGTCCATCAGAACCCCGCGGTGTTTCAGATGCACTCCGCCAGTCTCTCGATGGTTTTCACGCGAACCCGAAAGCCTGCGACGTCACACTCTCCTTGTTAATCCCTCGTTGATTTTCACGTGAAGCTGAAAAGCCGCGACGGCCCCGTCACTCTCGCTCCTCGCCTCTCCCTCGATGATTTTCACGTGAAGCTGGAAAGCCGCGACGGCCCCGTCACTCTCGCTCTTCGCCTCTCCCTCGATGATTTTCACGTGAAGCTGGAAAGCCGCGACGGCCCCGTCACTCTCGCTCTTCGCCTCTCCCTCGATGATTTTCACGTGAAGCTGGAAGCCCGCGACGGTCCCGTCACACTCGCACCTCGTTACTCGCTCGTCGATCTTTACGTGAAGCTGGAAACCCGCGACGGTCCCGTAACACTCGCTCCTCGTTAATCGCTCGACGATCTTCACGTGAAGCTGGAAGCCCGCGACGGCTCCGTCACACTCGCTTCTCGTCAATCCCTCGATGATCTGCGTTGTGTAGCTTATAAACAGCTCAACCAGCACACTGGTAACCCGAGCCCCACGCCACAGTAACAACACACTGCACTCAGCGTCGCGTCGATCACGAACGGGCTTCACGGCACCATTGTAACCCCTCTTAGTTCGTATATGTTTTTTTTTTAATGATCACGCGGAAGCAGTTTACCTGAACAAGTTCACTTTATAGTGTTCTCCAAAAGAAAAAACAGGGCTCCACACAGACAATAAGTGTACAAGGGCTGGTCATCAGAAAAAAATCACTCTCAACAGCTCTTGAACAACAAGTGAACTCACAAAATGGCCGGCTGACTCCACCCATTATACCCCCTTTCTCACCTGTAGGTGTCTGTTTTTCCCCATGATGTATTACACAGTTTAACAGTGAACATAGGATTTTGATTTAATTAGAACAGATATTTTTAACAAAAACAAGCATTTTGACACCATTCATACTTAATTCACAGTTTCATTTTTTCCCCCGTTACACATGTTACATGTGGGTGTTTTTGACAGTTTAACTGTCGAAGTGGGTTACAATTAATTTCACTTTCATTTTTGCACATTCTGCTTTTTTTCCCTGTTTTTTTTCATGCATGCAGGTCAAATACATCATTTAGTAAAAAATGCAAAAGTTTATGTGCACAAAATCTGTCTGTTTATGCAGGACAATAATACCTGAGAACAAGCTGCGTAACAACATGTTTAGAGACCGTCTAAAAAACACCGACAGCAGTGCATACAGTACACTGCTCTTTTATTTATGGAGCTGAGATCAAACTGCTCTTTATATTCATATAGAAATCAATTCATTTAGAAGAAGACACATATCAAGGTGTGCATTTTCTTTTTGGCTACACTGACTAAAAATGAGAATCTCTATGGTTACACTTTTTGTAAGGGCCATCACTTGTATTGTGAATGGACTATTGTGAAGGTGCCTTAGGCGTCAGGGGAATTCCGTCAAATGTGAAACTCACTTTTGAAAATACAACACAAGTGTTTACTATTGAAATGTTTTCTATTTATGGTTGTGCATTGAATGTTGCAATGGGAGTCACTGGACAACAGATACACACATACACACTCACCGGCCACTTTATTAGGTACACCTGTCCAACTGCTTGGTAATGCAAATTTCTAATCAGCCAATCACATGGCAGCAGCTCACTGCATTTAGGCATGTAGACATGGTCAAGAGGATCTGCTGCAGGTCAAAGCGAGCATCAGAATGGGGAAGAAAGGGGATTTAAGAGACTTTGATCGTGGCATGGTTGTTGCTGCCAGACGAGCTGCTCTGAGTATTTCAGAAACTGCTGATCTACTGGGATTTTCACGCACAACCATCTCTAGGGTTTACAGAGAATGCTCCGACAAAGAGGAAATATCCAGTGAGCGGCAGTTCTGTGGGCGCAAATGCCTTGTTGATGAGGCCAGAGGTCAGAGGAGAATGGCCAGACTGGTTGCAGCTGATAGAAAGGCAACAGTAACTCAAATAAGCACTCGCTACAACCGAGCTCTGCAGAAGAGCATCTCTGAACACACAACACGGCCAACCTTGAGGCGGATGGGCTACAGCAGCAGAAGAGCACACCGGGTGCCGCTCCTGTCAGCTAAGAACAGGAAACTGAGGCCACAATTGTACAATTTATATAATTGTGTGTGCATATATGTATAGGATATTGTGTATAACTGTGGAATCTTGTGTTGGCAGGCTGCATTAGTTCATGATGAGTGCTGAAAAGAGTGATGATGCTCCTGCCACAGGGAGCAGTCCAGAAGACCTGCAAGCTGAACAGTAAGATGACGAAATCATATACTTCCACACCGCACAAATGTAAAATAAAGTTACCTGAGAGAGAGAGACAAAGAAAAGAGAGTAGGCCCCAGAGTAGAGTCAGACGTGTTTTGCCATATAAACAAATGCACAGGATAATTTGCTGTCTTACACGAGTTACATTTAGCTTAAACTAAAATGTTAATTAATAAATCAACAGTCATGTACAAGTAATTAAGGTCGCCATTATTTAGACAAGAACACATGTGACTAACAATAATTAGCTGCATCTCGAGTTGTTGTTAATGTTATTTCTTGATTAGCACATGCCTTAACTCATCATTAGTTTATAAAAGTCATTTTTAGTTTATATATTAGTACATCATTATGCATATACTGTTATCGTGAAGTCTTAATATTCATCTTTAAATCTGAAACACACAGATAAACTGATTATTTGTGGAATATTTCAGTCACAATTTTTCTCCCCCACTTTAGACATGAACAGAAGAAATCAGACTCCTCCACAGTATCACACGTGTCCATGAAGAGTGGCAGATCCATCACTCCACCACTGGACTTCAGAAAGGATGAACAGGGGAACACAGAAAGGTTAGCTCTAAATACACTTGGAGGAAAACTAAAACTCTCTTCCCATTGTAAAGATAAACATAATTGTTTACCTGTGACAAATGAGAAGTGAGCTGGCTCTCCTCAGCTCCCCCATGGTCACCGACTGAGGTCAAGCAGGCTGAGACTGGTTAGTACCTGTATGAGAGATCACATGGGAAAACTAGATTGCTCCTGGAAGATCTGCTAGTGAGGCCAGCAAGGGTTGCTCACCCTGTGGTCTGTGTGGGTGCTAGTGCCCCAGTATAGTGACTGTCCTTTGGATGAGATGTTAAACCAAGATCCTGAGTCTCTGTAGACATTAAAAATCTCAGGATGTCCTGAGAGGAATAAGGGTGTGTCCCTCGCATCCTAGTCAAACTTGCCAACTGGTCTTATTCAGTCACAACTTTCAGACCATTCCAGTATCTTCTAACTGGTTTCATCGATCTGTCTCCTCTCCACCATTATACTGGTGTGTGGTCTGGAGCAGAAGGGCTGCCACTGTGTCATCCAGGTGGATGCTGTACACTGATGGTGGTTGAGGAAATCCTGCCCATATCTGTAAAGCACACAGAGTGCTCAGAAAAGTGCTATATAAATCTGATGAATTATTATTAAAAGATATCTGTGTGTTTTTATTAATAGAGCTAAACAAGAGAGAGCTGAATCCTCCACAGCATCACATCTGTCCATGAAGAGTGACAGATCAATCACTCCACCACTGGACTTCATCTCGGGAGAACAGAAACAGACAGAAAGGTTTGGTCCAATGAAACCTTTTTAAATAACCATGAAATTGCAGAACACATGCTGTGATTGTTGGAATAATATTTAGATAATACAACATTTGTACAGTATTAAATTAAGGAAAAGTTATCTTGCAGGAAATCTGTGGATGACCATGCAGTGTCCACATCTGCTGATAGAGTCTGTCAGCGGCATCACAGAGCTCTGGATGTGTTCTGCCAGACCGATAACATCCACATCTGCTGCATCTGTGTTGAGGAGGAGCACCAAGGCCACAGGAAAACCTACACTGCGGTAGGTTCATCATTGAATCCATTCTGTGGTTCAGCATGAAATGATGTAATTCATGTTTGATTAATATTGTGGGTTTTTTGCACACTGCTTCATTTCACTGCAGAAACTCAATGTTCCAGACAGTCAGTCAATGCTTTTACACATTATGGAGAAGATGAGGAGTGAGGACTTCAACACCTTTAAAAGAGAGCTTTCTGAGGATTACGCAGGATGCTTAGGGGCTCAGTCAGAGGAGCTCAGTGTGTCTGAGGCTGCTGAGAACATCATGAGGAGTTTTGGAGGAGAGGCAGCACTGAGACTCATACTGCATTTCCAGACTAAAGGTAGTGCACATCTACATTCAACAAAAGTATTAACACCTAAAGTATAAACTCAAAGATTGAAAACGTTATTCTACAGTATGTACACAAAAGGCATATTTCTCTCAAAGAGGGTTTACCTGTCCACTTTATGGGTGTTGCATATCGAGATGCTGATTAGACAGCATGATCACTGCACAGCTCTGCCTTAGGCTGGCCACAATGAAAGGCCTCTCTAAAATGTGCAGTAAGAGGAGAGGAGGGGGCAGAAAACCAATCAGTGTCTGGTTTGACCACCATTTGCCTCAGGCAGTGCAACATCTTATTCATAGAGTGGATCAGGGTGTTGATTGTGGCCTGTGGATGTTGGTCCACTCCTCTCAGCTGTGTGACCTTGCCGGATATTAGCCTGAACCAGAACATGGTGTTGTATACACCAATCCAGATCATCCCAAATATGCTCAACTGGTGTCTTTTCCAGTGAGTATGCTGGCCATGGATTTATTATTACTGGTTTGATTTGCTGACAAATTTTCTGCAATGCCACAGTTTTGGACACTCTTTGGTAGAGAACTTAAAATTCAATTCAAAGGTAACAGCTCTGGTGGACATTCCTGCAATCAGCAGACCAACTGCATGCTCTCTCATTACTTCAACTGCGGCATTGTGCAGTTTGAGCATGAGCTTTTATTAAGGCCAGCCTAAGGCACATCTGTGCAATACGCATGTGTCTAGTCAGCATCTTGATATGCTACATCTGGGAGGTGGATGGAATATTTCAGCAAAGGAGAATTGCTCAAGATCAAAGATTTAGTCAAATGTGTGAATAATATTTAAGTGAAATAGGCCTTTTGTGCACACAGGGAAAGGTTATAAATATTTGAGATCAGCTGATGAAGAATGAGAGTATAAAGAAAAGTGTTGCATTTAAATGTTTGTTGAGATTACATTCAAGCTAAGGTTTTTATCTATGCAATTTCAGTGCATCTGAACATCCTCCTTCTTTCTCCTAGCCAATCCACTTAAAAAAATCACAGATGCAAATAAAACAAAGCTTAAAAACAAATGTCAAAATATCAATGAAGGAAACTCATCCTATGGTAAACAGAGTTTACTGATGGAGGTCTACACAGATCTGTACTTTACTGAGGGTGGAAGCGGAGAGATCAATAATGAGCACGAGGTGCTGAGGAATGAAATGATTTCTCAGAGCAGAACAACTCAAGAGGTTTTATATGCATGTGATGAGATCTTCAAGACACTTCCAGGACAAAGAACACAAGTCAGGACAGTCCTGACGATGGGCATAGCTGGCATCGGCAAGCATGTCTCAGTGCAGAAGTTCATTCTAGACTGGGCAGAGGGAAAAGCAAACCAAGATATAGAGATCATCATCCATCTCCCCTTCCGAGACCTCAGCTGTAGAGAGGAGAGCTGCAGTCTTCTTCAGCTGGTCCATCAGTACTCTCCTGAGCTGAGAGAAGCAGATCTTCAACATCTGAAAGTGCTGTTTATTTTAGATGGGTTAGAGCTCTGTCAGTATCCTCTTCATTTCCATAAGAATGTTTACTGTGCTGATATAAACGAGAAGGTTCCTGTAGATGCACTGCTTACGAATCTCATCAAGGGGAATCTGCTTCCCTCAGCTCTCCTCTGGATTACCACACGACCATCCACAGCCGGCCGGATCCCTCCTGAGTGTGTCCATCGGGTCACAGAGATCCGCGGGTTCAGTGATGATCAAAAAGACTCTTACTTCAGGAAGAAAATCAGCGATCAGACACTAGCAGATGAAATCATCAGACACATCAAATCATGCCAGAGCCTCTACATCATGTGCCACATGCCCATCTTCTGCTGGATATCTGCCACGGTGCTGGAAAACATCATGAGGGAGGGACAATCAGAAGAACTACCCAGAACTCTGACCGGGATGTTCACCCACTTTCTGCTCCTTCAGGTCAGTCTCAAGCACAAGAAGTTCAATGGAGCTGATGGAGATAACCCAAAGAAGCTCTCTGAGTTTGACCAAACCTTCATTCTGAAACTGGGAGAGCTGGCTTTCCAGCAAATGGAGAAGGGAGATTTGATCTTCAGAGAAGAGGATCTGAGAGAAGGTGGCATTGATGTGAGTAAAGTCTCGGAGTACTCCGTGTGCACAGAGTTTTTCAGAGAAGAGCTGGGACTGTACAGGGAGAAGCTCTACGGGTTTTTGCATGTGAGCTATCAGGAGTTTCTGGCAGCGATATACGCTCACTTCACCTGCGTTAATGACGGGAGAAATGTTTTTCTCAAAGATGAATCTAGAAGCAGTGTTGATCTGTGTGATGTGCATCAGACTGCCGTGGAGAAAGCTTTACAGAGTGAGAATGGACACCTCGACCTTTTCCTTCGCTTCCTCTTGGGTCTTTCTGTAGACTCCAACTTCAATCTCCTGCAAGATCTTCTCAAAGACACCTCCTGTAAACCCCGTGTGGACACCAGCAGCACTGTGAGTTTCATCAAAGAGAAGGTCAAGCTGGAGCAGTCACCAGAGAGAATCATCAATCTCTTCCACTGCTTAAACCAGCTGAACGACAACAGTCTAGTTGAAGAAATAAAGGCTGCCATGAAATCAGGAACACTGCTGGGCAGCGAGCTGGATCCTGAGCAGTGGTCAGCCCTGGCTTATGTCTACCTGACGTCCGGGGAGGAAATAGAGGAGTTTGACATGATTAAGTCAAACCAGCTACGACTGCTGCCGGTGCTGAGGATCTGCAAAAAGGCCAGGTCAGTTTACATTGATAAATCATACAGTATTTGTGAAGCAGTGCATATATTAAAAAAAATTACAGAATTAAAACTAAATTTCACATGTGCAAAATCCACATACAAATAAATGCAAATAGGACATCCATTCATTCATTCATTCATTCATCCATTCATTTGTTCATTTTCCTTTAGCTAGTCTCTTATTTATCAGGGGTTACCACAGGAAAATGAACCACCAACTATTCCAGCATATTTTTTACACAGTAGATACCCTTTCAGCCAAAACCTAGTACTGGGAAACACCCATACACTTGCATTCACACACTACAACAAATTTAGTGTATTCAATTTTCTTATTGCTCATGTGTTTGGACTGTGAGGGAAACAGGACCACCCAGAGGAAACCCACACCAACACGGGGAGAACATGCAAACTCCACACAGAAACACCAACTGACCCAGCCGGGACTCAAACCAGCAACCTTTTTGCTGTGAGGTGACAGTGCTAACCACTGAGCCACCATGGCACCCATGCAAATTCGAAAACCTTAACCCTAACCTTATACTCTTGTGTCTTCGAGTATTCAAAACACTATGTTTGCATGCATTATTAAAACACCATGTAAAACAAGGGTTAGGGTTAGGGATAAAATATCTGTTAGAATTGCCCTAGTCTTACAGAAACATTTCCCATTTACTCTTAAATAATATAAAACATTTATAAGATATGTCTTATTGTTTACAGATTGAATTGCTGTAATCTCTCGTTTGCATCCTGTGGATTAGTGGCCTCAGCTTTAAAGTCAGTCAACTCTCCTTTGACAGAGCTGGATCTGAGCAACTGTAAACTAAACATCTTTGGAATGAACACACTCTTGGATGGACTGAAGAGTCCACACTCTAAAGTGAAGAAACTGAGGCAAGTTTTCTGTGTAGCTAGTATGTATGTTACATCTTTGAAACCTATTTATTTTAGAATCTTGTTCTGGTCAATAGTGCAATATAATTATCAATTATAACAAACAAGTTTATACTCTTTCTGTGGAAGCCACGATAATCAGCAAACAATTTGTTGTTCTCATGTCTCTTATTACACATTAGCGAAAAGGTCAACAAACCTATTTACCCTCAGAATGTCTTAAAATTGCACTGGATAATTATTGTGATTTCTTTGACCTACAGCTGTGACCTGAAATGTATCTGTCAAGACATATATAAATATATAATATATGATAAATATAATGATTCCTTATTGTTTTGGTGCTATTCTTTCAACAGTTAGAGAGTCCATCAGTTAAATATGAACACAAGAGTTTGCTCACTGATTATTTGCCGTGTCTAATCTTCTGCTTCTGCACTTCAGGTTGGCTGGCTGTTTTTTCCCATCAGAAACCTGTGCCAATTTGGCCTTGGCTCTCAAATCAGTGAACTCACAAGTGACAGAACTTGATCTGAGCTACAATAAGATAACTGATGGAGTTCATAAATTCTGTGCTGGGCTTACTAGTCAAAACTGTAAACTTCAGAAACTTGTGTAAGTATTGCATTAGCTGTGAGAGCATTTAGATGTGTCACTAGATAATTTGGTCTATCATGTAATCAATCTATTTCTGCAGGTTAAAGCGCTGTGGTCTCACAAAGGCAAGCTGTGCACATCTAGCATCAGTTCTGAAATCTAACACACACCTGATGGAGCTGGAGCTGAAAGGCAATGACCTGCAGGATTCTGGAGTGGAGCTGCTCTCAACAGGACTGATGGATCCACAGTGTAGATTAGAGAAACTGGGGTAAGCATGATGATAACACTACCACTGTATCGTAATACTAGCACAAAATGTCAACAGTTGATCGGGGGTTAGGGGAGGGCGGGGTGTTGGTACATACACTCCTGCTCAATGGCTCTAGAAATTGCTGGATTTTGGCAGGAACTGTAAAATGCAGACAACCTTTTCACAAACATTTTTTTCAGTCATTTTAGGTATGCCTTGTGCATGTTCATGTGTTGTTTCGCTAATGAGATATTAAGTTGTGTAATTATGTAGCTATACAGTCAGGGTGTGGTTTAATGATTGTGTGCTTGAGGATGGAAATTTCCCTCGTTTATAATCACTATGAACACAAAACCTGCCTCAAAGTTCAGTGACAACATCAGCCAGGCTTAGACATCTTAGCTACCTAGCTATGATGCAATGATCTTTTTTGTTTGTTTCTGTAATTTATTGCAGCTTTTATTAAAGTGTCTGCCAAATTAGGTATTTAAAATCTTTTGAATGTGTTGCAGTGAAAACTCTGTTCTTTTAAATATTATTTGCAGACTGTCAGGATGTATGATCACAAAGGTGGGCTGCAATTCACTGGCCTCAGCTCTTACTTCAAATGCTGATTGCATGAGTGAACTGGATTTGACCTACAACCATCCTGGAGACTCGGGAGTGAAGCTGCTCACTGCTAAAAAAGAGGATCCCAACTGTAAACTGGAGAAACTACAGTATGTGCTCAACTGTTTTATAGTACTTAAATATATAAATCTTGAGTAAATGGATCTACTGGATTGACAACATGAACATACTGTGATTGGATAGTATGCTTTTACAAGGTTCTGTATTTAAAAATACATTTCCACATCATGACCTCTTTAATTTCTTCTCGTTTAGCAGTTGTTTGTATTTAAAAAGTATTTCTCTTCCCACAGTGTTAAGAAAAGAGGAGAGTGTCGAATGAAACCAGGTCTACGGAAATGTAAGTATCCAATGCAAAAAAGAAGAAGAAAAAACAAGAACTACTTCAGTCTATTTTAATTTTATTTTTAAAACTAGTATACATTAAGTGAGAAGCAACGGACTAGACCTCATTGGTATGAACAGCCACACTGCAGTTATGCCAATTATAACATTTAGTATTCAATATTTATTTTAAACAAACCAGTAAATAGTCGGTTGATAACTTCAACTCTCCAGCTATACTTTTACCTTCTTGTTTGGTTGTGCTTTAATTCAGAAGTGCTTCAAAACACAGAAGATATAATATAGTCAGTGACAATTAATGCTCTGTTTTTCACAGATGCCTGTCAGCTCACAGTGGACCCAAACACAATTCATCCACGCCTGATAGTGTCTAATGACAACAGGACAATATCAGAAACCACAGAGCATCAGAAATATCCTGTTCATCCAGACAGATACACACTGTATCCACAGGCCATGTGCAGAGAGCCTCTGGCTGACCGCTCTTACTTTGAGGTGAAGTGTACAGGTGGAGTTAGCATTGGAGTGGCCTATAAGACTTCAGATAGAACAGAGGATTTAATGGGATTCAACAACACATTCCCTAGTCTCATGTGTCTGAATGGCAGAATTAAACTGTGGCAGAATAATGATGTAATCCATTATGAACTACCTGTGTTTGCTCAGTCCAGCAGAGTTGGGGTTTATGTGGACCAGTATCAAGGAAGTCTGTCATATTACAGCATTTGCAAGGACACACTTATTCACCTGCACACACACCACACTGAATTCACCAGCCCCTTATATATAGGCTTTCTTTTTATGCCTGACTCCTCAGTCACTCTGTTAGATGACAGCTTGTAAATTAGGCTTTGTTTGCATTTAACTAAAAATATCTTACAGTCACTCAGCAGAAACACGTATACATATGTCTACAGAACAGGGTTTGAAAAGAAGCTGGGCTTAAAAGATTTGTTAAGCTCTGTGGTTTAGCAGCACCTTGAGAATGAGTTTTACAAAAAAAAACATTTTAAATGTGTGTGTGTGTGTGTGTGTGTGTGTGTGTGTGTGTGTACGGCAAACTTTCAGAAAGATTTGAATAAACAGATACATTAAATAAACTTACTTGGTATTTTGACTAGTGAGCTGTTTTTCCAACACAATCTTACAGCAATTTGTAAATTTTTGATTTAGTTGCTAACTCGTATGAATTCGTACAATCTAATTCGTACAATTTAGTATGATTTGCTCATCACCCACAGTTGGATTTAGGGGTGGATTTGGGTCCCACACCTCCTTTTTAAAATCGTACAATTTTGTATGACTGAACTCGTACAACGAATTAGCCACTAAACTGATTTATCCGCTTATATTTTCCATTTATTTTGCCAATTTGTTTAGTTCTTAGACTTTGGCCAAATCCTTTAGTGTAGCTAGCTGATTATTTCCACAAAACCCCATTTCAGTTGTTTGCTTTCAGTCATTGTTTGATGTATGCTGTTCATATTCCCAATTCCTGTGTATTTTTAGTCTAACATTTTTAATTAATTTATTTTTTGTACTTTATACCTTGGTTTATTATTAAAAACACTAGTACCAGTTCAAAGTACCAAAGCTTTCCTTTAGTTTGTATTGTGAAAGGGTTCAGTAGTTTTCTGACTGTTATGTTGCGTATCCCAGCTGATATACATATGACCCTTTATAATGCTAAATGTAAATTTGATTGTGTCATGTGATTAATCTGCTCTCAATTGTTCTGTTCTGAAACTGTGTGTGTGTGTGTGTGTGTGTGTGTGTGTGTGTGTGTGGTAAGCAATATCTTATAAATTTAAGTTTGTGCAACATGTTTTCAAGTGTTTAAGTGTGAGCAGCCGAGTTGTAAAAAAAAATCCATTTCTTTCAAAAATAAACTAACTGTGCAGAAGATGATATTAAATGTGATTCATTCTTCCTTTATTCCTTTCAATCACTGTTTCATTCAGGAGATTAATATTTTAATAATATTTTTTCCAAACCTAAATAGGTTTTTAACTAGGAACAGACTGATGAAACATCAAACAACCTGAGAAACATTTGCAGCGTCACTTCACCTCATTCTTGACTTCAATGTCTCTTAAACACTTCAGGTATTGTAAAGTGTTTTCAGATTTTACCTGCTGCTGTGTGTGAGAAGTACAATACACATTCACAGACTGAGATTCATTGTTGCTAGATTGGACACTTTTGCGGACAGGAGTTAACGATAATTATTTATTATATTTCCTATTTATTGTATTTTATTAATGTCTTTCCCCACCCCAACCCTAAACCCAACAATCACAGTAATGTAAAAACCATAGTTGTAGCGAGTATTCTTTATGCCATCTATTAAACTGCCCAATACACTGTATTTTATTAACATCTACCCCCACCCCAAGCCTAAAACCAACCGTCACAGCACTGTAAAAATATAATGTTTTTGTCAAACAGTGCCATAAAAATGCTGCTATAGTGATGTGCAACTCGCACTTCCGGCCGGCCGCATATTTGATCTCGACTTTACTCAGACCAAAACTGTGAAAATCGTGAAGTGAACTGTGAGGTGAATCTTCATGCTGAAACTACATCTGGATTTCCAGAGTCAGATTCAGATTCACTTTCAGCAGGGAGGAGAAGAGGAATGGAGATGAAATATGA